GGATTCTCTGTGTGGCCAGAACAGGTGTTGTTGGGGAGGTACCCATTTTGTTGGTTAAACCTCAAGCATACATGAATTTCAGTGGTGAATCGGTTAGTCCTTCTTCCGTTGCAGCGATAGAATATTACCGATAATATCATGTTTACAACCCCAAAGTCTTTGTCTTTATGTATTGAATTGTAATGGTGGTATGCTTATCTTTGATTTCTAAAGGTTGGACCGTTAGCCGCTTATTATCAAGTACCCTTACGCCACATTTTGATGGTAAGTACAAAATCCATTTCGTTATGCTGTGTGATGATAATGAAACAAGTTTGATCAAACCATTCTATTTGTCTCTATGATGCAGATATATGATGACATGGGTTTGCCTAATGGTGTCTTGAGGCTGCAACCAAGAGGAGGACATAGCCACCACAATGGGTAAGTAATGTCTGTGCATAGGGATGTAAGAGAGATTTTATCTTCAGAGATCTAAGATCCATGGATAATGATATATTTATCAAAATAGTCTGAAGCATTGTTTTGTTAGAAAGTAAATCACACTGTGACAAAAGTAATAAATCTTTATCGGCACTTTTTATCCGAATTAGAACAAGATAGCAATTTCTGGTGCTTTTCTGAAAAGGTATATAACTTCTTTGTTCTCTCCCAGATTGAAGAATGTGACAGAACATTTAAATGGTTGTCGCGGCTATCCCCGCTTATCAATCGGTTTGTGTTCCAATACCTGGGGAATGCTCTCTTCCATTTGACAACCTTTTGCAATCATCTGAAAGTTATCTGGTAAATTGCAGGAATTGGAAATCCACCAGGTAACATGGACCTGAAAGCGTTTCTTCTCCAAAAATTCAGCCCCTTGGAGCGTAAACAGGTAAAGAAAAAAAACACCATCTTTAACTGATCGTTGAAAGTCTGAAACTTTTTGGATTAAAGACATTTCTAAGGCTTTTTGTTAATCGAATTTACCTCGGGTGTGAATGTGTATGTCAGATCGATGCGGGAATGGAACAAGGTGTTGAAGCCGTGAGGACACTCGTTGAAGATGGATTCAATGACACAATATCTAGATTCAATTTGGGACAGAAATACAAGTTCCACACAGTTTGATTTTCTCGTATTTGCTTCGTCTTGGTTATAGCTTTTATCAGAGTAACAAGTAAGTAACAACCATAGTCCAACATTGTTAGTATCATTAGCCGTTGTCTTACTGTTAGGTTATATTGTAAGCTTAATACTATTGAAGATCTTTCTTTAGTGAGTTCGTCTCTTTATTTTCCCACTGTTGGTGATTAAGGAAATTAATGGCCGTTTGATCGATGAAGCACTGGGTCCCACACTCCCAAATTAAGTCCGTTAAGGGAAAATGAAAAGGGTAAAATCGTCAACAAAAGCAAAATGCTAAAAGATTGTCTCCACCGATTTCTATCAGACCGTTACGAAATAAAATGAAGAAGGAAAAAAAAAAATAGCCACTAAAACCCTTTCTACGCATTAAATAAAGCCTTTGGCTTTTGCAAACAACAAATTCGAGTAAACCAAAAAAAAAAAACAAAAACTCATTAATGGCGGATACGATCTCAAACCCTAGTATGGAACCTCTGTTCTTCTCTGTAGATCCAATGTCTCTTATACTCTCACAAAATTCCGACACACATCATCAGCTTAAACTCTTGTTAGATGGTTTCTCCGGTTTCGAAAGAGGACCAAGATACGATGAATACTCGAGATTACGTGAGTCCAAGCTTCAACTGAAACGAGATTTCCATAAATTTCTCCAGGAAGAAGAAGAAGAGCCGAGGAAAAAACAAGTAAGATTCGAGGGTAATTCGGTAATTTTACATGAAGAGGAAGCGAAGAAGAAGAAACAGAGCCGATTTGGGTTTGCTCCGAGAAAAGCTTCTTCGTTGGCTCAATCGGTTCCTGATTTCTCCACCGTGATACGTAAAGAGAATCGCCGACCGGTTAATTACAATGCTACTACTCCGCCGCCGTCGACTTCGAAGAGTAGAAACGGTGGCGTTTTGACTGGATCGGCTTCTTCCTCCGCCGTTGCAGCGAGAGGGAGTAAATCGGCGAGTGGAGGTGAGAAGAAGAGTAAAGGGATGATGATGGGAATGGCGCGTAAAAGCTACGCGACCGTTCAGGATCTTAAGAAAATTTCAATGGCGGCTGCTTCTGCCATTAAC